AGAGCGGTACCCGCCTGTTGCGGAGAGCTGGGTTCGCAGGAGGGCGGTTTATGGGTTGCATGATCTTGTAGGAACTGGACCCAGCGGTGAGGAGCGATGGCAGGCAGGTACATGTGTCCTTCCCCCGAGAGGTACAAAAACCTGCAGGGACTCTTCTTTGAGGTGCGTGGTCCCTGCAGTGGTGGAGGGCAACAGGAGTTGGCAATGGCATCTTGGAGATGCCCTCCCTGGAGCTGGGATGGGGCTTTTCCATTCACCCCAACGTCATGTCACCCCGAGAAGCATTTCTAAAGGAGCTGAGCACTACAGGACATCTACTCCTCGGCTGGGGAAAGCCAAAGGCTGCCCATGCTAAAATTTGGTTTAGTTTTTTTCCTTCTTGAGATTGTTTCAAAATTTTCCTCAAAGCTTATTGCACAAAACCTTTGAAAATTAAGTATAACCCCTGTGCAAATCAAAGGAAACCTCATCACATAATGCAAATGCCTAAAAATGCCTGTTCAGCAATGCACACAGGACATGGTGTAATGTCTTTGGTACCAATCCGCCAATTTCTTTAACAGAAAACCACCACCACCACCACCAGAAACCCTACTGTTATTAAGAACTGGATGCAAAATTATGTTCAGAGTGTTTTAATAACAAAGCATTCCAAGGCAAGTTAACACGTATCACAGGGTATGACTTCGGTTCCTGTCTGGCATGGCACTCTCCCCCGTGCACACTTGTGGCAGTTCAAACAAAGCAAAAAATAATAATAATAATATATATCTCCCCCTCTTTCAAGGCATGTTGCAGAGAGTCCCCAGAAGTTCGTGCTGCCGACCATGCCTTTCAGCGTAGAGCACCAATCTCCCCCAACTCTTTCGTAATGTCCTCAATAACTTAACCCAATAGTCATCTGCTGCCAGTATATCACTGAAACTAAATAGAAAAAAAAAAAAATACTTTACAGAAAAGATGTATGCACAATAAACGTTTATACTTTAAGCAACCAGCCATACCAACATAATTTATATAAAAAAACATTTGTGTCATCCAACTAACATCTAGTATAAAGATGGCTGCTCAGAGAAAAGGAAGCTGACTGGCATCCAATCGCTGATACACGGAATTAGTTACCTGTCACTTTGAACTGCTGTCACACAGTCACGCGCCGTTGCAGACGCGGGACTCGAGATTTATTAATTTTTTTTTTTCTTTAAACAAAATACATATGGCTGACGTAAAAATATCAGTTTCTGATCTAAAGAAAACTATATTTTTTTTTTTGCATAATATTTATATATAATTATTTCTCCCCCTCCTAATATGGAAACTAGAACAACAAAAATATATCAACTAAAGAACAACCAGACCCTTGTGGCAACCTGCCAGTCACAGATTTCTGGGAGTGACTTTGAGAGCTTCCAAAGTTGGCTTTTTGTTGGTTTAAGTCTTTTCTTTTTTTTTTTTTTAAACAGGTCTGAGGTAATAAAAAAATATCAAAAGAAAAAAAAAATTAGTGTTCCCCCCCCAAAGTATTTAATAAATATTTATGTAAGCTTGTAAGAACACCATATTTTCATCCCTTTTTTTTTTTTTTTGCAAGTATTTAAAATAGAAAAAGTGATCTTTTAAGCAATGTCACCTTTAGTACAGAACCAAACCCCACAACCACCCCTTTTTGTCTTTCCTGTCACCGCTAGTGGATAACCCAAGAAAACACTCCCCTCACCCCCCCGGTCCTGCCCAAGGTATTTTTTCAGCTCGTGTGAAGAAGGAATGGGGAGGGCAACGATGGGTTTCTCTGTGCGGGCACTGAATTTTCAATTGAGATGGGCAGTGGTGGCAATTTCTTCTTGCTGTTGGCAGTGTACGGAGCCCAGCCTTCCCCGCCTTCCCCAGCACGGAGGCAGAAGACCTGGGAGAAGGACCTTTCCTCAGCTAGCTGGGGCAGGAATGGGGCGACCTCGTCCTTCCCTCCTCCTACCCCGAGGAAGGGACGAGTCGGTGCTGGGCTGGAAACAAAACAAAGACACTTGGTTTGTGTTGTCGTTTAAGGAACACTTAATTCTTGGCAAAGTACTGGGCCCTCGCGTGGCAGGCGGTGCTGCAGGCAGTGCTCGAAGAAGGCACGGGAGATTCTGCTGTGCGTTCTTAAAGGAAAGAAAAGAAGAAACCAGCCAGCCCACCCTCTCGCTAAAACTTCTCCGCTTCCAGGGATGGAGGCTGGGCAAAGACGATGATGTTCTACAGCCAGTTACAACCGGGTTCTCTCTGCTTCCAACCACACCAAATGGGACAAAGAAGAGAAGGCAGCAGAGCTTCCTCCAGCTCTGCCTGCCCGGGGCCAGTAACCAGGGGTGCACCAGCAAGAGCCCACGGAGAAGAAACTGAGCCCAAGCAAAGCAAACTCCTGTCTCCTGTCCTGTCCTATGGCTTCACAAGAGGGTCAGTTCAGAGCCAACTCGCCCAGGACACCTGGGGCCGCTGCTCCAAAACACCACGACTCTCACCAAATGGTTACAAGAGACCGAGGCGAGGCAGGATGCAAGGGGAAGAGATGACCTTCAAAAAAGCAGCAAGCGAGACAAAGCCTCCATGCAGCACCTTCTCTGGAAGACCTGCAGCCAGCCAACCAACCTGCCACCTCTGCGAGGAACTGTCTCCACTGGCAAACCAGCTACAAAAGTGCTATGGAAAAATCAAGGGTCCTCCCATTGGCCATGGAGCCTCCTCTCCCTTCCACCAGCTAAATAGA